GAGTGAAATTCTAAGTCTGTATTTAAGAATAGCAAAAGAAAGGTCTTTTACAAAATGACAGCTCTTTAAGTAAATCCTACGCTAAGTTTAAGTTAAAAGCAAAAAAATTTGGGAAAGGGTGGAGCTGCAATTGAAAAAAATATCCTCTATATAGTAGCAAAACAAAAATTTTAAGCAAAAGAACATGTTCAGATTTTACTTGTGTCAAGCTGGAATTTTTTAATGAACCGAGCTCGGGTGAGATAAATAAAAGCAGCACGCTGGACTTGAGTGGCTCGAGAACTTCCCAACGCTATTAGAACAAGCTAGAGACTGGATTTCAACACACTGAGTCAACTAAGTACTTCCCTGGAAAATTCTTCCCAAGAGTTACTTAGGGAAAAAAGAAAAACTGTTTCTGAGGTGTGGTTAGCACTGAAAATTACCTTACCTCCAGTACTGGTGGGCCTGTGCTAGACTAGAGAAACCAGGAAGAGAGCAACAGAAAGCAGGAGCCTCTATGCAGAAGATGTGAGAGTTTACCAATAAGTAGCTAGAGCTGATGGGCCAAGCAGTGATTTAATTAATAGAATTTCTGTGTGATTATGTTGGGGCTGAGTGGCCAGGAACTAACTAGCGGCCTCCTCCAACATTTCATCCAGTAAATGATTGAAAATTTGTAGGGACCTACGGCTGTAGCATTGGGCTGAGCTCAGGGAATCCTGCTGAAGAGAAGGAGGAAGAATTGGAGGAGTCAGATGGGTCACGGATATCAAAAGGGAACCCACAGAAACAATTACTCTGGGCTCATAGGCGCTGACAAAGTCTGAACCAACAGCCAGGGAGTCAGCATGAGACCAACCTAGGCACTCTATCTACATATATTGAGTATCTGGATCTACTGTCGGACTCCTAGCAATGGGAGCAGGGGTGTCTCTAATGCTCTGGCTTGGTCTTGGGATCCTATTCCACATACCGGATGGCCTTCCCCAGACTTACTACAAGGGGCGGTGCTTAGTCTTGTTTTGGTGATACCCATGGGAGGCCTGTCCCATTCTGAACAGAAACAGAGAAGGGGTGGATAGGGGTGTGGATGGGAGGTGGGAGGAGGAAATGGAAGGAGAAGAAGGGAAACTTCAGTCAAGATGTAAAATAAATAAATTAAAAACAATTCTGTTATGGCAAAAAAAAAATCAGTGCATAAAATAAAAATATACAAAACTCAGTAGTCACTACAGGGGAGCCCACGTACTCAGCACACTGGTCTTTCTAGTTGGTCCTTCTACTGTGTAACGGACCTTCCTGAGTCTTCCTCATGCCCTGGTGAGTACTGAGTTTCTAAATGAATAGAAGAAGGTTGGCTTTTGAACAGAAGCCCAAAAGGATAGGAGGCTGGACTGGGCCACCATTTCCCGTTCTCAAGTGAGTCTTTCTGAAAAAGTTTGCAACAAAAATCTGTGCTGCCCTATTACAGAAGTAGAAGAGAGTTGTCAGTCATAAAATAATGACGGGACACTCATGTGCCACGCTGGGAGGCTAACGTGCTAAACACACTAGCCAGCATCTACTAGGGCTTACTTCCTATGAAATAGGTCTGTTTAGTATGTGTACAACATCGTCATGACCAGGACACATCTTTAATAAATGTCAGAATCAAAAGCTACCCCAAGGTCACAGCAGTCAGCAACAGAGTCGATCTCTAATACACACTGAAAAGTTTGTGTACCCTGAGAAGCCTCTCCACTGCTGCGACAATCAAAATCAGACAAAATCAAACTGAATTAGAAAAAGTCCAGGTTGAATGGATACAATGCTCCCGGATGGCTTCCCAGCCCCCAAGAAGGGAGCCTGGAAAGGAAGACCAGAAAACCTCATTTTGTTTTCTGGGGTGGGGGCAGTTTAAATACCCTGTGGAAGTGGTCTTGAGTGTCTCTGGGGAGGGGTCACATTTGGCAGGCTTTCTGAGATATAGCAGGGTTTGGAGAGAGGTGGGGGAGGGAGCTCCAGGTGGCGCGTCCATCTGAACATTCCAGACTCTTTGGACATATGGAAGCCAGGGGCTGGGGTGAAGCTCCCACCTGAATACACACATCTGATTATAAACCTCTGTTCTTCGGCCACCAGGTCTACTAGCAGGAGCACTTAGCCACAGGTACAAACTTTGGTCACTACAAAACATTCCTCGGAATAAGTGTCTACAATCTCATGCAGAATCCCCATAGACAACATAAGGTGGAGCATCTGGCTTATTATTATAGAATGACTTTAAACCTACACGGTTTGCCTATGTTCTCAGAATCACAAGAATCCAGCAATGTTGCAGAGTAGATCAGAACTTTCGCTTCTTAAAGTTCCCGATACAACAGCTTATTTCTACATTAGGTTAAACAAAAACAAACAAACCAACCAAGAATCCATGCTAATCCAGTGACGTCCCACCCAACTGGCCAATAAACAGAGAACAAAAGACTGGAATATTCAGCCCTAACCCAGATTCATATCACACTCCTTTACCCCAGGCTCAGGAATCTGTGAAAAGGGGTAGCAAAGATGTTAAGAGCCAGAGAGGGTGGGTGACTTCAAGGAACTGCTTTCCAGACAGGACAGTGCAGAAGCAGGAAGAACTCACTGAGATCTTGTCAGCTCAGGGCAGAAGGAATCCCAGCAGAGAAGAGAGGACGATGGCCCCTACCAGCTGCGAAGCAGCTAGCATCTGACAACTGCAGGGAGCGGAGACTAATGGTGGCAGGCTGGTGGGCTGGCCACACACCAGCACAGGTCCAATCCCAAGCTGAGACAGCCACACAAACCAGACTCACAAGTTAGGTGGGGAGGGAACAGAAGGAAGCTTTGAAGGACACTGGTGAGACTGTCTCGGAGGGGCAGAGTACACCACAGAGACACTCACAGGGTTCTCTAACGTTCCAATCTCAAAGGAAACGCTGACGACACAGCCTGGCTACACTCGTGTTTCTAGAGCATCTGATGGAAGAAGAGTCTACAGTCTCAACGTATCTGTGCTGTTTCCCCTGGGGGACTCAACCCCCTTGTGCTGGATGAGGAGTTTACCAGAGAGTCGGTGAGGAAGAAGCCCATGGACACAGCCCACAGCAGTTCAGGGGAACAAATTTATGCTGTCTGAACAGAAACTCACTATTTAGGATATGACAAATTCAACGACACTCTGCAGGCCATTTGACTAACTCCCAACTCTTCATTAAATCACGATGGAGCAGGCTGCAACTTTTCAGTCCTCCTTGAAGGGCAAACCGTGACTATGGTAGATAAGCAGATACAACGAGCAGGACTCAGCCAGCCTTCTTCAGAAATGGCATTGGCAAAGAGTATTATGAAAATGCATATGATTTATTATCTCATTAATTACCAGTGTTGAGAATGATACAAACACGCTTGTTGAAGAAGGAATATTGTAAAGCTGGAGAGGTGGCTCTGCAGTTAGGGGCCCTGGCTGTTCTTGCAGAGGACTTGGGCTCAGTTCCCAGCTCCCTCGTGGCTGCTCACAGCCACCTGCAGCTCCAGTTTTAGGAGATATGTGGGTGTCTTTTGGTAAATTTCATACCAACTTTACTATCTATCACTGATATGACATAACATAATCTGTTACTAATTATACACAAATCTTTTAGCTAATTTTTAAAAAGCATATGTTTTTCAAATTCATTTAAATATTATAACATTTTTCCTATAACAGGTAAAGCCACATCAGAGGTAGAGGCATTAGGCAATTAACTCATTATATAGTGTTTTGCATTACACTTCACCTGCCGATAGTCTCAGATGTTTTGAGGTTCACAAGTGTAACTCTGTCATCAGTGAGTACACTTTCAATGGCCACTCACTACACTCAGTGGATTGGTCACCAAATAAGGTGTGGTGGGGTCTGAACTGTCCCGCAAAGGCTCCTATGTGAAACCTCAGCGACAGATGATGAGATCTTCTGGAAATGACTGATCATGGTGGACCTAACCTCAGGGAGGCAGTTGGAGGAAGTAGGTCCCTGGGGACATGTCCTTCTAAGACCCCTCCCTTGCCTCAGCTCCCGGGCTGCCACCAAGTGAACATCTTTGCCACACACACTCATTATGACACTCAGCTTTATTATGGACCCAAAGCAAGGAGTCGACAGACTGTGAAAGGAAACATTCAAAACCATGAGCCAAATATCAACCCTTCCTCCCAGAGGCTGTGTAGAGCCAGCATACGACAGCGAAGAGGGCTGACAAACACCGAAAGCTATATGAGAGGTCTCTGACCTGTGTGTGGTTCCATATGACCTGTGTGTGGTTCTATATGACCTGTGTGTGGTTCCATATGACCTGTGTGTGGTTCTATATGACCTGTGTGTGGTTCTACATGACCTGTGTGTGGTTCCATATGACCTGTGTGTGGTTCTATATGACCTGTGTGTGGCTCCATATGACCTGTGTGTGGTTCCGTATGACCTGTGTGTGGCTCTATATGACCTGTGTGTGGCTCCATATGACCTGTGTGTGGTTCCATATGACCTGTGTATGGCTCTATATGACCTGTGTGTGGTTCCATATGACCTGTGTGTGGTTCTATATGACCTGTGTGTGGTTCTATATGACCTGTGTGTGGTTCTATATGACCTGTGTGTGGTTCTATATGACCTGTGTGTGGTTCTATATGACCTGTGTGTGGCTCTATATGACCTGTGTGTGGTTCTATATGACCTGTGTGTGGCTCTATATGACCTGTGTGTGGCTCTATATGACCTGTGTGTGGTTCTAGATGACCTGTGTGTGGCTCTATATGACCTGTGTGTGGTTCTATATGACCTGTGTGTGGTTCTAGATGACCTGTGTGTGGTTCTAGATGACCTGTGTGTGGTTCTATATGACCTGTGTGTGGTTCTATATGACCTGTGTGTAGTTCTATATGACCTGTGTCTGGTTCTATATGACCTGTGTGTGGCTCTCTATGCCCAAGAGTAAAGCTTTCCCTGGGTTTGCAGAGGCAGCAGAACCTCCTGCACCTACCTTATATTCATCCACAATAATGCTCAGTGCCTCGTGCCCAGCCTTCCTCATGTCTTCCAGTTCTTGCTTATGCTTTTCCTAAAAAGGAAAAAGGAAACTGAATCTATAATTTGTTCCATGGTAGTAATAAAGTGACCACCTTTCCTTTTATACCCTGTGGCTTGCAGAACAGAGTCTGCAGGTGACATCAATTAGCTGGCTTGATTATTTGGATAAAAGTTCATCTAAAGGCAAGCAGAGAGGGAAGGAGGCATTTGTGAGGCAAAGGCAGAGGCTCTCTGTGAGTTTGAAGCCAATCAGGACTACATAGTGAAAGACAAGCAACTAAGGGACAAATAGTGACATTCTGTTTCAAAAAATAAAAAAAATAAAAAAGTGGACGTATTTGAGTACTTTCTCCAAAATCAGGTTTGTTTTCTTCATAAAATTCAGTACCATGCAGGCTTTTATGTCTTCCATTATTCCTTCTGACGAAAATAAGACACCTTGATCACACTTAGCAATCCTGCAACACTCATTTAGTTCCTGATGTCCAGAAAGGTCCTCACAGGAGTGCCGCAGTCTCACCTGGCTCCCTGTGCATCAGAGGCACTGGGGATCCAAAGATTAGCTACTAAATAGAGATACATACATAAATGGGAAATTGCACAATCCGCAGCAACATTTGCATAACTATCATAGTGTGATTCACCTAAGTTCACTCTCCAATACACAAGTTATAAATTATTTCTCAATCCATATCTCTTTTGTGCTTTGACACTGCCAAGCATCCCTTCCAATAAATTAATCCAAGCAGAGAAAGAACACCTTTTGTAGTTGGAGGCTGCTTGTTTGTTCCTGGCCCAGACTTCCGAAATAATCACTCAGAAATTATGGCATTTGAATCACTGCTTGACCAATAGCTTAAGCATATTTTTAGCTGGCTCTTATCTCTTTGGTTAAGCCATTTCTATTAATCTATGTATCACCACATGGTTGTGGCTTATTGGCAAGGTTCTAGCGTGTCTGTCCCCCATGGAGGTTACATGGCTTCTCTTGACTCCACCTTCTTTCTCCCAGCATTCAGTTTATTTTTCCCCACCTAGCTCTGTTCTGCCCTGCGCAGGCCCAAAACAGCTTCTTTATTCATTAGCCAATAAAAGCAGAAGGAACTCCCGCACCAACTTTTTGCCACCCAGACAGTGCACAGCCATCCTTTGACTGACAGGCTGGTAAGGAATAAGAAAACAAAGAAACTGAGTGGCCCAGTCAAACATGACTCTACCCTAAGCTAGGGTAACTGATCTTGCCTCCCAGATTCTTTAGAGGACCCAGTCTAGAAAGAGCCCACTGGAACTGAAACTGATGATGCCGTCTGACTGAGAGACTTTTCCAGTGCAGGCTTGACAAGCACTTTCTCTGAAGCCACAGGTCATAACCAACCAACTCCCCTGGAGAAGGCGGCACATGCAACTTCAGACCACACAGAAGGAGATGGGTGCAGCAAGAGATCAACACAAGGGACAGCAGGGTAAAGCCCAAGGCTCAGAGGAGGCTGTCCTGCTGTGCTCTGGGGATCACCCAGGTCCTGCTGTGCTCTGGGGATCACCCGGGTCCTGCTGTGCTCTGGGGATCACCCGGGTCCTGCTGTGCTCTGGGGATCACCCGGGTCCTGCTGTGCTCTGGGGATCACCCGGGTCCTGCTGTGGTCTGGGGATGAACCCAGGTCCTGCTGTGCTCTGGGGATCACCCAGGTCCTGCTGTGCTCTGGGGATCACCCAGGTTGGCCTACTGGAAACCAAAGCAGGGAAAGCTCAGGCCATGTAAATGGAGACGGTACTTTCGTATTCAAAGCTGCCAGAACCCAAACAATCACACCGAAGCTACATTAATTATAAAACTGTTTGACCTGTTAGCCCAGGCGTCTTATTAACTAACTCTTACATCTTATATTAATCCATTTCTATTTATATTTTACCACGAGGTTCGTGGTTTGTTACCTCTTGCTTCTTGGGTGATTACATGGCGTCTCTGACTCATCTTCTTTCCTTCTCTGTCTCTGCGGATTTCCCACCCTGCTATATTCTGCCCTGCCATTGGCCAAAGCAGGTTCTTTATTAACCAATGGTGATAAAATATATTCATAGCACATCAAGGCTATCATAGACATGTCCAAACAAAGAGATATGATACAACACCACCTGCATGCTTCTCAGCCACACAAGACATTCCTTCAGGGTCTCCCTCGATAGCCTAGATAACCTAGGACTCACTACACAGTCTCCCAGGCTGGTTTCCAACTGACCTCATTCCTCCTTCTGCCTAGCCAGTGCTGGATTCAGGCTTGAACACCATACTCAGCTTCCCTCTGACAACAGCATCAGATCTGGCTGAGCCCAAAGGACTCCCTACCCCTTGCAGAGAATGTAGGCATAGGCTGAGAGTCACCAAAGGACTCTCTACCCCCTGAAGAGAATGTAGGCATAGGCTGAGAGACATCTGGCACTTGGGTTTCTTTATACACCTGGTAACAAGTTATAGCACACAAATCTTCCCATGAGTCTCAAAATCTCATTTTCAGACAAGTATTAAGTGAACAGAAACAAGAGATCTAAGGACCAGTCTGAAAGTATCAGGCAGAAACACAAACAGAAGCAAACATCCTTGGCAAAGTTGTGAGAGCAGCTAAGTTGTTACCTCAGTAAGCCTGTCTCCTCAGCTTATGGTAACACAAATCTCCAGGATTCCTTTGACCGAACAGCCTTGACCACTAAGGGCTGCTTCCACACACTGCAGACATTCCATCTGTAAGCTTAGAAGGGCCTTGCTGAGTCCTGCTCACCAAAAAGAAGAGACTAGAACAAATTCCTCCAAAACTTTAACTGACAAACAGAAGATACGGTTGTATAAAGAACTCCAAATCTCCTCGCAGAGGCACAGACATAAGTAGCTCATTTTCCTACATGCTAATTTACAACCTCATATTCATATCTAAACCAAAACTGTAAGAAATTCACAAGTTATCAAATGAGGAACGAAGATGAAACCATCAGGGTGATGCCCCTGTCTCCCTCCTTAAGCACAGAGGCTCATCTCTCCAATGGCAGGCTCTCAAGTGTCAACAACTCCACCCCCACGAGGAGAATCCAGTGAAGCCACTGGGCATCATGTTAGCACCACTTGGGGTGCTAAATTCTTCAAAGGTGGGTCCTTGAGAAGACAGCTTAAAGCTAATTTAAGCCAAGCAAAGCGAGGAGGGGATGGAAATGGCTATGAGAAAAGAACAAACATTGAGATGTAGGAGGCAAATGGGGAAGGGATGATGACGGAAGAAAGGGAGAAAGGGGGGAAGGGTGAGAAAGAATGGGACACAGTGCAGCAGTCACCATGATCTCAGGACAGCTGCATCTCCCTCCTGGTGCAGGGATGAGCAACTCCAGGCCTCCCTGCTGAGGGATCAGAGGGTGGCATTCAGTCAATTAACATGGGAGCAGAGTCCCCAGGCAGGGGGTGGCTCACTGGTGAAGCCTCTGTTGGACAAGCAGGAGACCTACGTTCAAGCCCCAGAGTCCATTACAGCCTAGTTGTATTGGAGCATTCCCACTATCCCAAATCTGGGGCTTGCTAGACAATCGTCTCAAAATCAGTGTGTGTGATTTAGGAAGACATCAGACATCGGCCTCTGCTCTATACACACATGAACACACATGTGCACACACATACAGACTCACACACTGATGTGGGAGTGATTTCTTATTAATAAAGAAACTGCCTAGGCCCCTTGATAGGCCAACCCATAAGTGGGTGGAGTAAACAGAAGAGAATGCTGGGAGAAAGAAGCTTAGTCAGGGAGTCGCCATGGTTCTCCCACTCCAGACAGATGCAGGTTAAGATCCTCCCTGGTAAGCCACCTCGTGGGCTACACAGACTATTAGAAATGGGTTAGAACAATATGTAAGAGCTAGCCAATAAGAAACTGGAACTTATGGGCCAGGCAGTGTTTAAATGAATACAGTTTGTGTGTTGTTATTTCGGGCATAAGCTAGCAGGCAGCTGGGGTGCTGGGGACGCAGCCCCACCGCTCCTATAGCTACAACACACACAAGTAACCTGTGCATACAACACACCTAAAAACATCACTCTTACTGTTATGGATACAAACTTCACCGTAAATGCTGTGATAATGCTGCCTGGCTTCTAAAGGGTGAGGCCACTCCACGTTTCCTGTAGTTCAGCCTCAATGGCAGGAGCACCTAGGAAGTTTCTCCAGATAGTTAACCTGTGGTCATTATAAAGTAGCGAAGCAAGAAAAGCCACCTCTTCATGCTTTGGCCACTGGTCTGTGTTGGGTGTTTCTGCCCACAATATTATCATTCGGGGACGGGCGGTGGTGGCGCACGCCTTTAATCCCAGCACTCGGGAGGCAGAGGCAGGCGGATCTCTGTGAGTTCTAGACCAGCCTGGTCTACAAGAGCTAGTTCCAGGACAGGCTCCAAAACCACAGAGAAACCTTTTCTCGAAAAACCAAAAAAAAAAAAAAAAAAAAAAAAAAAAGATTATCATTCGGCTTCACTGTAGTGTGATTCTAATTGGTCTTAATAATAAAACCTGGAGTCAGATATTAGGGGGTAAAAGCTGCAAGATCAGAGAAGCAGAGCAGCCAGGTGCTAGTTTTTACCTCTTCTAAGTCCTCAGACTGATGTGGGTGTGTCTTCTATCTATCTGTTGCTTTCATTGGTTAATCAATAAAGAAAACTGCTTGGCCTGATAGGGCAGAATTTAGATAGGCGGAGTAGACCGAACAGAATGCTAGGAAGAAGGGAAGTGAGGCAGACGCTACAGCTCTCCTCTCCAAGATGGACACAAGTTAAGATCCTTCCCAGTAAGCCACCACCTCGTGGTGCTACACTCATTAATAGAAATGGGTTAAGCAAGATATGAGAGTTAGCCAATAAGAGACTAGAACTAATGGGCCAACCAGTGTTTAAAAGAATACAGTTTGTGTGTTGTTATTTCAGGTGTAAAGCTAGCTGTGTGGGGAGCCAGGCCGGGTGGTGAGAAGCGGCCCGCAGCTCCTTCTACATCAGACCACATAGGAT